AAAAAAAAAAAAAAAACTTAAGAGAGACTTATTAAATAATATTTTGTTAGTATTTTCATTATTCTTCCTCATACTGTGTCTAATCGTGCATAGTTTTCACAATTGGAAAGATGATCTAAATATGATACAATCAGTCCCAGAACACAAGAATTAACAGGTAACCAGAATTAGATTTTTAATCAGAATACCAATGTAGGCAAGAAAAAAATTTAATGTCTTTGAAAATCTACATATGTGTATGTATTTATCTCTGATAACTGAAGGCCCTACAGAAATGAGAAGCTCTATGTGGACGGTACACTTAGAATCCACAGACGCATTTAGCTTCTCTCTAGTTCCTTCAGGATAGTACCCACATTGTTTAAAAATTTTGAAATTTGTTAATTGTTGGCATTCTATCAAAGGTGAGCTAACACCCAACTAATTAATCAACTGAGTAAAGACGATCTAAATATGATCCATTCATTCCCAGAACACAACTCAGTATTCTAGAACCATATCAGATTGTCTTTGGATAGTGAGATTTTTGCTACAAGGGGAAGGAAAGAAGGTACCTTGAAGGTACCTCTCTCGTTTTGTTTTCTATTTCTGCTCTTTTTTGATTCTTTCTTTCTTTAAGTGCACCCTGTCTTTTTCCTAACTTCTTCAATAATGCCTAAGACGAGCACTTATTGTTCTTTCACAAACGCATTTAAGACTATAAATTCTTATAATCCTAGCAGTTTGGGAGGCTGAGGCAGGCAGATCACTTGAGGTCAGGAGTTCAAGACCAGCCTACCCAACAGGTGAAACGCTGACTCTACCAAAAGGAATCAGCCAGGTGTGGTGGTACCCACCTGCAGTCCCAGCTACTCAGCAGGCTGAAATGGGAGAATCGCTTGAACCTGAAAGGTGGAGGCTGCAGTGAGCTGAGATCATGCCACTGTACTCCAGCCTGCCATCTTCAGCAACAGTGAGACCCTGTTTCAAAAAATATATAAATAAAATTCTTGCTCTTAAATTCCACTGTAATTTTTCTCTACTCTGTGAACTGTTTAAGAGTGTGGCTTTTAGTTTGCCAATATATAAAATTTTTAAAGATTATCTTTTTTTTTTTTGAAACAGGGTCTGGCTCTGTCACCCAGGCTGGAGTGCAGTGGTGCAATCACCACTCACTGCAACCTCTGCCTTCCAGGCTCAAGCAATCCTCCCACCTCAGCCTACTGAGGAGCTGGGACTACAGGTGCCCACCACCACACCTGGCTAATTTTTTGTATTTTTTTGTAGAGACAGGGTTTCACCATGTTGCCAAGGCTGGTCTTGAACTCCTGACCTCAAGTGATCCACCTGCCTCGGCCTCCCAAAGTGCTGGGATTACAGGCAAAGATTACATCTTATTGTGCTATGTGACATAGATCCTTTAAAATTACAAAGACTTGCTTTGTTACCCGATTCCAGTTAATATCTATAAACATATCATATAAGCTCATTCTTTTGTTGTGAGCAGAATATATCCATTATACTAGGCTTGTTAATTTTGTTTCTACAGTCTTGCTAATTTTTTTTTTCACAGCTCCAAACAGCCATTGAGTAGCCTTGCTAATTTTTGTCTGCATGACTTACCAGTATGAGAGGGGTTTTTTTAAAGTTTCATCCTGATTTGAACACTTGTCAATTTTCTCCTTTTGTTGTCCATTATTTTTTTATTCATTAAGCAAATCCTTTTCTGAGTCCCTATGAACCAAGAAACTGTTGTAGACACTAGTGATTAAACAATGAAAAAAAAATGCCCTTGCTTTCATAGATCTTACACTCTAGTGCAGAACACCCCTATCAGTGTGGCAAAGAAATACTACCCTTTTTTGGGGGTCATGATGTGAAAAGATATGCCATTAGGTACCCACAGATTCATGATTATTAGAAACTTAGTACTTTCTTCCTTTTGTCATCACATCCTATCTTCCTTTATCTCTATTTATTGCTTTAAGTTATATTTAATATATTAATATATCCATGCCAGTTTTCTCTATAAGGTATTTAACTATTTTACCTTTTTCCATCATGGTTATAAACTTTTGGTATCATTTATAATTTCAAAACCTCTCCTTTAATAGATGAATTTAATCCATTTACATTTCTTGTATGTTGGATAGATCACAATTTTATTACACTTTAATTGGTTTAAAGTTATAACATTTATTTCTATTCCTTCAGTAAATAGCTACACTTTAAATGTGCTATATAAAGTATGAATTTAAACAATATAATTATCCTTCCAAATGAGAAAATTAAAATGCTTTAAATCCAATCCTCTCCTATCTTAGGTATTTTTGTCTAGTATTTTAATTCCATTTTATTTTTATTTTTATTTTTTTCTAAAAAAAAAAAAGGAAAGAAAGAAAAAAAAGAATAAAAAAAAAAGAATGAAGGAGAGGAAGAAAGAGAAAGAGGATGAGGGAGAGAGAACGGGGTGTTGCTTTATTGCCTGGGCTAGAATGCAGTCTAAAAATGGGTATTCCTATAATTGTGCTTAATAATAGAGACATGAAAAAAAATGAGGGAAGAAAATAACAAACAAGCAGCCAACCAATATTTCATTGAAACCTGTAAATAGATGTGATGTGGTACTGATAAGAGTGTATATTTTGTGTATTTAAAGTGGAGAGTTCTATAAATGTTAAGTTTACTTGTTCCGGATCTGAGCTCAAATCCTGGATATCGTTGATAATTTTCTGTCTCACTGATCTGTCTAATATTGGTGTTGAAGTCTCCCACTATTATTGTATGGGAGTCTAAGTCTCTTTATAAGTCTTATATATCTGGGTATTCCTGTATCGGGTGCATATATATTTAGGATCTTTAGCTCCTCTTGTTGCATTGATCCTTTTATCATTATGTAATATCCTTCTTTGCTTCTTTTGATCTTTGTTGCTTTAAAGCAACTCCTGCTTTTTATTTATTTATTTTTGCTCTCCATGTGGTTGGTAAATCTTTCTCCATCCCTTTGTTTTGAGTCTTTGTGCATCCTTGCATGTGAGATGGGTCTGGATGCAGCATCCCGATGGGTTTTGGCTTTTTTTTGCCTGTCTGTGTCTTTGGATTGGGGGATTTAGTCGATTTAAATTTAGAATTATAATATATGTGAGTTTAATACTGCCGTTTAATGTTAGCTGGCTGTTTTGCCCATTAGTTGATGTAAATTCTTGATTATGTTGATGCTCTTTACTTTTTGGTATTTTTTAGAAAGGCTGATACTGGTTGTTCCTTTCTATGTGTAGTGGTTCTTTCAGAAGCTCTTGTAAAGCAGGCCTGGTGGTGATGAAATCTCTGAGTGCTTGCTTGTTCACAAAATATTTTATTTTTCCTTCACTTATGAAGCTTAGTTTGGCTGGATAAAATTCTGGGTTGAAAGTTCTTTTCTTTAAGGATGTTGAATATTGGCCCCCACTCTCTTCTGGCTTGCAGGGTTTCTGCTGAGAGATCTGCTGTGAGTCTGATGGGCTTCCCTTTATGGGTAACCTGACCTTCTCTCTGGCTGCCCTCAGTATTTTCTCCTTCATTTCAACCCTGGTGAATCTGGCGATTATGTGCCTTGAGGTTGGTCTTCTTGAGGAATACCTTTGTGGTGTTCTCTGTATTACCTGCAGTTGAATACTGTCCTGCCTTGCTAGGTTGGGAAAGTTTTCCTGAATAATATCCTGAAGCGTATTTTCCAGCTTGGATTGATTCTCTTCATCACATTCAGGTACCCCTATCAAGCGTAGATTAGGTCTTTTCACTAGTCCCATATTTCTTGGAGACTTTGCTTGTTCCTTTTTATCCTTTTTTCTCTAATGTTGTCTTCTTGTTTTATTTCATTAAGTTGGTCTTCAACTTCTGATATCAATTCGGCTGTTAAAACTTGTGCATAGTTTGTGAAGTTCTCATGTTGTTTTTTTCAGATCCATTAATTCACTTATATTCCTCTCTAAATTGTGTATTTTTGTTAACATTTCATCAAACCTTTTTTCAAAGTTCTTAGTTTCTTTGCATTGGGTTAGAACAAGTTCTTTTAATTCACAGAAGTTTCTTATCATCCACCTTTTGAAGCCTGCTTCTGTTAATGGAACACACTCATTCTCCATCAGGCCTTGTTCCATTGCTGATGAGGAACTGTGATCCCCTGTAGAGGGAGAAGCGTTCTGATTTTGGGTATTCCCAGCCTTTTTAGGCTGTTTTCTTCCCTTCGTTATAAATTTATCCATCTGTGGTCTTTATAATTACTATCTTTATAATTGGGTTTCTGAGCAGACGTCCAACTTGTTGATTCCCACCGCTAAAATCTGAGCAACCCACTGCACAGGCCAAAACAGCGGCATTATGATTGATGGTGCTTTTCTGACTCTGCACCAAGAACCACCGCACCAAGGCAGCGGCAAAACCGCCTTGCCGTCGCGCTGGCAACCCGTGGGGCTCCTCCACTGGGAATCTCCTGGTGCGTGAGCAACAAAAATTCATCTGAAAGTGTGGTGTCCTCTCGTTCTCTGCGCTTTCAGTGGGAGCTACAATCCCGAGCTGCTAGTGATCAGCCATCTTGGATCTCTCTCTCTCCATTTTATTTTTAAACAGCCCAAAAGAAGTCATTTTTTAAAGCAGTCATTCTAAATATTTACCAACATTTTGTCAATTTCTTTCCTTACTTTTGTTTCTTGCATCCACAACTTCCTTCTAGGTTCAAATCATTCTTGATGAAGGTATATCCTTTGATAGTTTTCATGAAGGCATATATGTACTTAGCACTCTCAGTCTTAGCATGTCTAAAAATGCTCAATTTTAGATATACTAAAAAATAGTTGTGTTTGGGCCAGGTGTGGTGGCTCATGCCTATAATCCCAGCAATTTGGGAGGCCAAGGTGGGCAGACTGCTTGAGCCCAGGAGCTCTAGACCAGCCCAGGAGTTCAAGACCAGGAAAACCTCATCTCTCCAAAAAAATAAAAAATTAGCCAGGCCCATTGGCATGTACCTGCAGTCCCAGCTACCCAGGAGGCTGAGGCAAGGGAATTGCTTGAACCTGGGAGGCAGAGGTTGCAGTGAGCCATGATCATGCACTACACTCTAGCCTGGGAGACAGAGTAAGACTCTGTCTCAGAAAATAATAATAATAGCTGGGTTTGGAATTCTCGGTTTAGAATTTAGAATAACAGATTTCCTTCATTACATTAATGATATTTTCACTGATATTTTTTGTTGCTCAGGAGAAATCTAAGTCTAATTATTGTTTCTTTGCAGGCAAAATAATAGCAAAGAAGTTTAAGAATGGGCTCTGTAGGACCATACTACCTGGTTTCAAATCCAGTTCCACCACCAACTCACATTAGCCATTTTTTTTCCTAATGATGCTTTGACATCTTAGGACCTTAAGAACCTAGGGAATGACTGCCCCTCTCTGGGATAGCTAACTGCTAGAGGTAGCAAACAACTTGCCTGTGAGCATGCCTCTCAAATGCAAACCAACCAATCCCAGGTGTACACCCCCCACCACCACACACAGCTGATGAGGCCTCCGTTACTCTGTATCTCCTCAGAGCCAGGTACTGGACAACTACAGATCACCTCTCTGGCCTCTCAAAATTATTCAAACTATCTCATCCTAAATTTGTTCAGCTTGTCTACTCTGTCTCGCTCATTCCTTCCCACAAAAAAAAAACACAATAAAAGCAAGCTCTGGCCCATGCTTTCACACTGCTCATGTTCCTCCTGAATTACCCTGGTACTTCCCCATGTGGCCTTGTATGGTGTGGTGTGCCCATTATTCCTTGGGACCTGTACATAATAAACTCTTCTTTCTTTCTTTTCTTTTTTTTTTTTTTTAGAGACAGGGTTTCGCCATGTTGGCCAGGCTGGTCTCAAACTCCTGACCTCAGGTGATCTGCCCACCTCAGCCTCCCAAAGTGCTGGGATTACAGGCGTGAGCCACGGTGCCCGGCCATAAACTCTTCTTTCAAGGCAGTTGTTTCTGTGTCTGTCTTCTTACCATACCTGATTAAAACAAAATCCAGGTACATTTTAAAACACTAGATATATGATAATGAGACAGTTAATTAACCTCTCTGTGTCTCACTTTCCTCACCTATAAAACGGCGATAATAAGGGAACTACTGTAAAGGATTGTTACAAATATTATATGAGTTAATATATGTAAAACACATAGAATAGTGCCTATTCCAAATTAAATGTTCAATAAATCTTACTCATCATTGGTATCAATATTATATTCTATCTGGCAGTTTGAAGATCTTTGGTTTGTTTTTGATGTTCTTATAATTCTCTACTTTATGTCTATGTATGCGTTTGTTTTTATATACCCCACTCAAGATTTGGTATGCTCCTTCAATCTTAGAACTCACATTTTTCTTCGATTCTGCAATATTCTTAACAATTATCACTTTGACCCCCATTCAACTTTTACCTTCTGGTACTCATGTTAGATGTACGCTAGATTTTTAAAGTCTAACCTTCAAATCTCAACTTCTTCCATTTTTTTCTATCTCTCTAACATGCATTACAGATTATTTCCCCAAATCTATCATCCAATTAATTAATCCTCTATTTAGTTGTGTTTAGACTATCATTCAATCCACCCACTGAGTATTTCAATAACTTTTTATTTCTAAAATTTCCAGTTGGCTCACTTTCACACTTGCCTGCTTTTTTACACATAGTTGTTGTATTAAGTGCAGATTTTTTTTTAAATGACCACAAATTATTCCTTTTCCTATAACCATGTTCTTCGGTAGTTCCCTCCCATAGCGACTTTTGATTGGTCTTATGAGTAACTTTGGCCACAGGACAATGGAAACATAATGCATGCTGAGACTTGGGCAGTAGATGCATGTCAAGGCCTCTCTCCTATTGCTCTTGAGAACCCTGTGACCAGCACTATGTAAAGATGCCTAGGTTAGTCTGCTGGATCACATGAGAAATGCCCAATATCCCCATTAATGAAGCCAACAAGTACCAACTGACAGCCAGCACCAGCCACCATGCATGTGAAGCCACATCAAACTACCCAGCCCCTAGCTGACTCTACAAATCCATATTCAACCCTTAGACTGCAAGCAATAATAAATG